TCCCAGACACGCGGTCCCGGGGGGACGTCTGCCAAAACAGGGAGGTCAGAGCAGTCACCTCGCGCAGCAATTTCCTCTGGGAGAGGAACTGTGCGGAGCTGTGTCAATAAACAAGCGCTGCCCAAAGCAGCCTGCAACAGCCTCGCGTCACAGCCCCAGCTCGGTATCTTAAGCTTGGATGGTGAAAACTCACTATAGTGGAGAATACTGCAAATTAATGCATCCTTTTTATGGATGGCCACTATAATCAGCCAAATTCTGTTCAGTTCCTCCAAAGGAAGGGGAATCCATGAACAGCTTATGGCTGCAGCCAGGTCATCCCGCCTTTACTGGTCAGGGAGGTCCGATGTGTCCGAAATACAGGCACGCTGCAAGAAGCCGTGGCCAGGAGGGGCGACAGTGGGCACCAGGACTCCTTGGGGGTCTCTCTCAGTTCTGCTGCTTTCCAAAATACACGCTCACTCATCTCTTGCAGAGGCAAAACTGCAGCTTGGGAATGCTGGGGGTCTCCAGGTGGGTGAGTTTGGAGAGCAGTGAGGGTTATGCTGATTTATCACATCACCTGTGCATGGCTGGCAGCCTCCAGCCCCATCGTCTGCACAGGGCTCAGGCCCAGGAGCTCATCACAAGCTCAGAATCCCTCAGAAAATCAGCGTCAGAGTCAGAGATGCAAAGATCCTATCTAGACACATTTAAATCAGATATTTGCATTCAAGGAGTTATCTGAGGAGCATCTTGGACCACCTATGCCATGTGGCTCTGTGAGCCCTCAGATATTTTGGATTCCTCCCAGGGCTGTGCTGATGTCTGGTGGTTAATGCAGTGGCCGTGGTCGTTATGGGACTATTGATCTGATGCAAGTCCAGTGCACTATAATGGCATGGCTCAAACCTGTCGGAGAGCAGATACTTAAAGGAGGATAATCTAATTAATGCCAATCAACAGCATGTAGGTAAACACAGGTCTTGTCCAACTCATTCCGATATCTTATTTAATAAGATCCCCAGGTAACCACACTGGAGAGCCTACAAGGCATCTGACTCAAGACTGAGTAAGAGAAACAGGCTGACAGGGGACACGCTACATCGGTTAAAAAGCCCAATTACTGGCTCAAGCTCACAGCAGAAATGGAAGTGAGGACCTGTCCTGGGCCGCATCCCTGGAGGGGAGCTCTGCAGTGGCCACATCACAGCACATGGTCACTTGAGCTTTTCCCCAATAATCCAGATGAAAGAGCTAAGATAGTGATTACAAGGTCTGCAGCTTGGACAAGGATGGGGAGCAGCAGCTGAGGGAAAAGTCAGACAGCAACACACAGGGCACAAAGATGGCACTTTTTAGTGCGCCAAGATATATTAGGCATCTAGGAAGAGCAGCGCTGGGTACGTTTGCAGAGGAAGGCTCTGGCTCAGGAAAGGACATAGAGATCGGGGTTGGTAACTGGGGCCAGGCACAAGCTTAGTGCAATGTTATGGCCTCAGATGTGTTTGCAAGGTGCAGGCTCAAGCAGGGAGGTCCTAGGAGCTGCACAAAACCCTGCTGGACATCCACGAGCAGGGTCTGACCAGGCTTTTCTGGCCCATGGAGGAGCTGGAGAACAAAGGCAGAGACTGGAAAACAAGCCCTGAAACAAGAGGCTCTGGGAGCTCAGGCAGCCGACCCGGAGAAGACTAACAGCTTCCAGCAGCTTGAAGCAGAAGGAGAGAAATTTCAGGCTAGAAGTTGTCCACAACCTTGGTGGGGACGAGCCCCTGGAGGAACGGACGGCAGCTTGCAGTAGCAATGCAGATTGCAATCAGAGCATCTGTGCTCCAGTTCAAGCATGAATGAATTTGGGGAAATCTGATGGTCCATGCTGGACTGGAGATGGGACAGTCCCCTCCAGCGCAGCTCACAGGAGGTGTCGGAGCGGGGAACGGGGGCTGGCAGGCTCCTCCGGCGCCACTTCTCAGCCCCGGCAGGAAGCCCAGCCTCGGCTTCTCGGGGACGCAGACCAGATGTCTGCCTGCTCGCAGGGGGCTGGGAAAGGGCTGACCTTCTGCGCGAGCAGGCAGCTCCCGAGTCCCCGCCAGGGGCACGCGCGGACCCTCCACCGCCTGCCCCGGGGCGACGTGACCAGCCCGCTGGGGCCGGCCATTGCGGCTCTGAAGGGGGCCCGGGGCACACCAGCGCTCAGCTAGCACTGTTGTTAGCGGTTAAACACTACTTATTCTGCTCTGTCCACAGCCCCCGTTACTGCCAGCTTCGGCATGCGGATGGCAGGATGCAGCAGATAATGAAGATAAAGAGCTGGCCCATTGCCAGAATAGTTTAGGTGGCAGGAAAACATGGGCAACTTGTGACCTCTGCATTTTAAATATTACTCATCTCAACTGGAGAAACCTGCCAGCTCTGCCGTGGTGTTGGCAGAGCTCTGCCCCCGTACAGACATACAGTATGTCCTCAGCAAGGCATGGGGATGGGATGGCGCCGATGGCAGAGCAAAGGGACGTGCTGAGGCTTTGCACCCCCGGTGCTCAATCCTAGCATGCAAAGCTCTCCTGGCGGGTGACTGTGGCGGGAGGGACCTGCCTGTCTCCTGCCCTGTAAACTTGCTTTAGTGGTTAAAAGCAGCTCTGGGCTAACCGGAAAGCGGATACCCCCAGCACAGCTGAGTGGGAAGCGGCACAGGCGGGCATGGCTGCTGGGCAGACACAGTCACCACGGAGCGGAAGAACCTTGCTGGCCCATGAATGTTTTGGGGATCACGTTTCCACCTTCATCTACCATATCGCCGCAGGAGAGCTGACCTTGCTCCTGGGGTGCATCGCCACTACCAGCCATGGGGCTGAGGGACAGAGCAGACCCTCCCCAGGTCCTTTCTGCGGCCTGTCCACTGTGCTTAGCGAGGGATATCTCCCTCCTTGCATTCCCTAAAAGCCCTGGGGAGGAGGACGGGGGGGTCCTGTTAACCCAAAACCTGCACCAGGATTTACGGGGTGCAGGATCATCCCCAGTGAGTGCTTCCAGCCTCCCCATCCATCCCTCTCTTATCTCGCCCACCTGCCTCCGGGCTCTCACAGGGGTCCCGGCCACACTCACCCAGGTGGAGGGTGATGTTGACGGAGTTGGGGTACTGGATGCCGAAGGCCATGGACTGGCTCTGCCACCAGGTGCTGTCCTCCTGGCTGTGGAAATCGGTGAGCAGGGAGGCATTGTGGTGGAGCTGGGGGTCGCCGGCGTCGCAGCGGTGGCACAGCTTGGTGGCGTCGCGGGCACCCATCTGCAGGCAGTAGTCCTCGGGCGGCGAGCCGCACGTGTTGG